CCACCTCAAAGCGCACCAACCTTCAACCCTACCTTAAAATATAAAAAAATGCGCAGTTATAAAACATGCGATGGCTGATATCACCGCGTTGGGTTCGGGGATTCACTTCGGGTTTGGTTTTTTTTTTCCCCCTTGTCTTTTCTTTTTTTTTTTTTCGGGAGGGGGTGTGTGTTGGCTCAATGACAAGAATTGCACTCTAAACGATGTAGAAAGAGCATAGCCTTCGGAAGCATCCGAAGTTCTGTGGAACTGCGTTGCTTTCGACTTCAATCTGCACCGCGGGTATCTTCCCCAGGTAAAAGCTTTTCATGTTCCGCGAATCGTGGGCTCATCGAACATTATAGATGCTGAAAACATTTAACGAGCACAGTAAGGGAGTGGGGCTACAGAAAATACGTAAAAAAAATAATAAAATCATACGAATTCTTGTCCGACTGAGTTTGTTGAGGTGACCTAGAAAGTCTTCGACACGTCAAACTCGCAACACTCGTCGTAACTCAAGAGTCTCAAATTAACCTATTTAGCATACCATACACTGTTCTTATAATGCGTCATCAACACACACACACACACACACACACACACACACACACACACACACACACACACTCACACACACATACAAACACTTTCTCTCTCTCAGTCTCTCTCTCTCTCTCTCTCTCTCTCTCTCTCTCTCTCTCTCTCTCTCTTTCTCTCCCCTCTCTCTCTCTTCCTCTCTCTGAGACCTTTTAGTTAAATTGTGTGTGTGTGCAAGTGTGTGTGCTTGTGTGTGTGTGCCTGTGTGTGTACATGCCTGCGTGCATTTGTGGTATGTATCATGTATGTGTGTGTGTGAGTGATTAAAAATTGTGTTTGGCTCTATATATGCTATTCTAGTGCTTTCAAGTGGCTCTGAAGATACTTTTCAACTTTACTTTATAAGTTTGTTACCCAATCACACACAGCCCAGTCTCATAGCCTACTAGACTTCTAAGCCTTAGAGAACTCAACCAAACTGCAGAGATTTCAACAATGTGAGAGAAGTATTTCCAGGTCTCACTATCACTACTACCATCTCAGTGAAAGCTCCAAAAGTAAACCTGCAGTCAAAACAAATCTATGCAAGGTACCTCACATAGATTTTTTTTAAAAACCAAAACCCAGACAACCAGGTCTTTTTTTTACACCTTTTGCACTTTGACAACAAAACTGTAGGTTCTTTGAGCTAGCAGCAAATACACACGCATTATAAAAATACATTATAGAGCAGTGTCATACATTTCAATTTCATCTTGGTGATTCACAAAGCTACAAGTAGCTTTACTTCAGACAGCCTGTCTACTAGACTAACTGTATTGTGAGAGCAGCAACAACAAATAAACTACATTTCAAACAAAACCAGTTCTTCAAAAACAATCCATGACCACATGCACAAAAACAAAGTAAGCTAACAAAATAATCGTATTCTCACCTGCCAATGTCATCTCCAACTTCATAAGTCAGTTCCAGTGATTCCTTTTTGAAGGCGTAGCCATCCATTATAATGAATTCCACAGCACTCGATAGGCACCATTATTTTCCAATTGACTCGGGAATTTTCAGAAACGCACTCATGAGTCAATATCAACCACACACTCAGTACCTATAGAATCTATTATAAAAAACAAACCTGGAGAAATACAATGAAAAATGAATAAAAAACAATTTCCAAAGTTTTCCCAGTTTGTATCTTACCAAATTGCAACCAGGGGTTCAAAAATATCAGGCCTTAATTGACCAATGAAATGCTGAAGAATAACAGAAAGTCTGTACACAACCGACCTGTCCACACCCACTGAACACAAACCAATTGGAATATAATAATCCTCAAGATGGAATCGTCAATTTAAAAGCCTTCACATTATAGATCGAGATTTGAGATAAATTATATACTAGCCACAGTATGCCAAGCGGATAGAATGATGATGAACTGTTACCCAAATCATTTAGGAAGGTACACTTTGACTTTCACTTGTAATTATTATTATGCTAGCCTTATTATTATTATTATAACCAGCCACCTCATTTGATCTTTCTCTATTGTTATTATTGTTGAAAAGTAAAACTAAAATTAATCTCAACGGTAATCCAATGAAAATATGCAACCTCAAGAAAACCGTATAGATCTATCTTAAAAACAGTTTTACTTTTACAATTTAAACCCTTGACAAGGAAATATTTAAAAAACCTAAACTGTACCCCATCATAAATAAGACTAGCCACAGATTAACTGTTGAACCATGATTTGATCTTTACTAGACTCTACTTTGCATCGGAGCACCACTGCAAAATAAGCCATACAAGAATAGAAAATGGGGAAGGCCTTCCGTAACTTGTACCCAAAACCTACCCCTACCCCAAACCCTAACACTCCATTAGACTACTCTGTGTCATAGGGGTCGCTCGTTACGGAATTCCTCCCGAAAATGGAAAGGGGAACCCATGTTACAATAACTGGACTTATAACCACAAGCCCTACAAAATTAGATATTTTTGTTCTTGTTTGAACATGACATTTATAATGAATACTAGATCTAGATCTAGATCTAGATCTATTATAATATTATTATTAATTTATTGTCTCAGCAGTGCATGACATACAAGGATTCAGCTTATCACTCACTCTGTTTCAATAGGGCTATTTAGCCTCTAGATCTAGAAATCTAGATCTATCCTTTTGATCTCTATCAGCTGTTTTAACAGTTAGATTTAGATCTAAACAAGACAAAATCTACTTGAGGTTGATTTGAAGGAGCGGAGCCGCATTTCATGCAATTTATTTGACAATTATTGTCTAATTTTAATGCTGAGTGACACAACTAGAATCTAGACCTACTGTTCTACTTTAATTTTATATTTTTATACACACTAAACACACAACTCTATAATCTGCTTGAGCCATAGAATCTGAAAGAATCGATAGATAGCCGATTCAGTTGCATAGAAAATTCGAAAAATAGTGAAGTGAAGACTCAAGGGTATCTAAACTAAGCACATCACAAGCGCACAACAGCTGCATAAATTGAAGCACAGCCCTGAAATCCAAAGAATTATTAAAACATGCCATGCATCAGTTGAGATCAGATTATTGTGTACAATGAGGAGAGAGTCTGCGCTGTTGCTGTGTACACTGTGTCGACTCGTTTCATACAGTTTGTGGTTACCTCCGAACTGACTCATCCAGTCTTTCTCGAGAAGGCCCGCAACTCTCAACTTGCTATGTATACGGTGTAAAGGCAAAACACCCATCCCCTCATGAAAGGTCGGACACAAAGTTCCCACAGCGGGGGAAATATTAATGCAACAAATCAACAGTCCACTAAAAGCCACAAGTTTAGTTGTTAGAGTGATATTTGACTTTTCTCTAATGAGAAAGTGTACTAAAAACTTTTTTTTTAAATTTGCAGTTGTGTTGTTTTTGTTTTTGTTTTTGTTTTTATTTGCTGTTGTTGTTTTTCTTTGGGGGGGGGGGGTATTTGTTTGTTTGTTGTTGTTGTGGTTGGGGGGGGGGGGGCAAAAAGATGTTTTGTTTTTTTCTAAATAGACTTCAGTCAATGATAAGTTGTAAAAAAAAAAGTTTTAATTGTAAAATGTGTATTTTTAATATCAATTCTATAACAAGACCTGCTGCAGTAGAACGTGGCAACAGGAGCAACTTTACGATAAGTGTGATATACCAGATATGAGACGTTTACAATGATATGGAAAGAAGAGAAAACAAATTCGAGTACGAATGAAAATGTGCTAAATCTTCCAAGCCAACACACTTACTCCGTTCACCTAAGCTACCCTCTTGGCCTATAATTAATTTGATTCTAGTTGTGCTGATATTAAAAGTAAAAGCATGCTGGTAGGGGGAGGATTTTTGTTTGGGTTTTTTGTGTTTGTTTGTTGTTGGGTTTTTTGGGGGGGCGCTTTAATTGTCCTTTATCAAAATGTTCGTCTTTTGGAGCAGGAGCACGAGCTACGAGGAACATAACTGATTCAAATGAACAAACAGTTGTAACTAAATGTAGACCTACTACACCAACGCGAATCAATGTGAATTCTTTAGCTAGGTACTTAGCCTACTCAAATAGTAAATCCGTTAAGGATGTCATCAATATGTAATCACCATGGTGCAAGTCAAGGTTCTCAGTATACAGGCTTAATTATTTTCCAGCAGTTAATCAGAATCTAGATTTGAGGGAAGAATCAAGATTTTGCAAGCGAAATAAATATAGTCTACTCTAATTTTGTTTGGTTTTGTTTGAGTCTTTTTTCATAATTCAGTATAATTATTGCCGTTTCATTTTCTCAACAAAATTACATATAGATCTAGTTTTTGTATAGTGTTTCAAACCTTTAGTGCACGTACAGTGTCCACCTTTTCCATCTACTACAATGACGCGTCGCTATCATAAACAAAATGGTAGACGATAAGATTCAGATAAACATTATTAGAAGGTATTAAAAATCCATTAGGCATAAATCTTAACGTTCTGGAATGCTCCCATCATACTCCCATGCATCTCTTTCTTTACCCACATCTCAATCTCCTTCCAAGGACTATATACGCACTATGATGTCTTGGCTACCATTTTTTTTTATCGAGGGGTGTGTCACGACTCTCAATAATAATAATAATAATAATGA